GAGGACTCGCTGCGGGCTGGGAGGCCTGACCGCCCCCTGCCCGCCTCCCGGCGCCCGCCCGCGCCGCCCACAGGTGGGCTGGAGGGATCCCCTGAGCAGCCCGCGGGCGCCCGGACTCCCGCTCTCCGTCCCCGGCCACAGAGAGCCCGCCCCGTGCCCTCCTGGCGCCGCGCGGGGCAGCCCCTTCCCACGGCGTCCCCCGGACATTTCTTTGCCACCCGCCTGAAAATCCTGGCCCTGGGGGGCCTCCGCTCCGCCCACCTGCCGGCGCCCCTGCGGCTGCCCGCGGGCCACCTGAGGACGACGGCACCCGGACGCCGCGGGCGCAGCTGGGAGGACGTCTGGGCCCGTCTGCGCCGGCCGCGACGCCTCGACGGCAGGAGCGTCCCGCAGCCCCAGGCCGCAGCGCGTCCGCCCGGACCGCTCCACAGGTGGGTGCCCCCCGCCCCCGCTCGTCCTGCTCGCGGTGCGCGTCAGTGTGGGTGTCCCCTGCGGTGCTTGGGGAGCCGGGGAGGCCGGGACGCTGTCCCTTCGGTGGAGGGAGTGGTCGCTGCGCTTCGCTTTACACCGTGCGGCGTCGGGGCGTCCCCGGGAGCCGCTGCTTTCGGGACGCGGGGAACCGAGACTCCGGGAAGGGCGGGCAGGCTTTCGGGGCGCAGTGGGGGAAGGCAGCGGCCGAGGCAAACGCTGAAAGAAGCCGCGAGCCCCGCGGGGCCTGGGCGTGTGGGGAAGAGACACACCTGTGCGCAGAGAGCCGCCGGGACACGCGGGCCGGGAAGGGCCACGTTTTAAACAATAGCTGGATTGTGACATAGTTGCAGCGAAATAACAAATATTTTCTAAATTCAGTTCTGCATGAGCACTTCTTGTCACCCTTTGGCCAGTCACTGTACTGTGGTTCCCCCGCCGCCCGCCTGTCCCGCCTGTCCCGCCGGCCGCTCCCAACGCGCCGCGGGGGCCGAGGCTGCACGTGGCGTGGGCGCCGCCTCTGCAGTCCCTGCCGCGCGGGCCGCTTGACCCACCTGTCTGGACGTCTCGGAACGGAGGTGCAGTTTCCTGGTGGAAATCTGTTCTGATTCACTTTGTGGAATTGCTGTCTTAGGGCCTTGCTCGGGACGCGCTCGTCGGTTGCGGTGAGTGACGCGTGTGTAAAGTGTATCTCAGGTGTAGCGTGAAAGTGTGCGGTGCAACCCATGCTCAGTATAAAATTCTAGAGCAGAGATTGCTGGTGGACATGCCCCTGTGGGAGGAAGAGGGAAGCCCTGTCCCCCAGGTGTGCAGCCGTCGCCTGGGCTGCAGCTCAGATGCGGGGAAGAATCCAGAAGGCGCTGCCGTGGGAGACGGGCAGCTGACTGCACGCCCCAGGCAGGGCTGCCGGTTTGCCCTTCGAGGAGTAACTGAGCAGCAGGCATCTGTTCCGCCGCCACCCACTTCATTCATGGGGCAGCTGGTCAGTGGGAGTCCTGCTGGTGACCCCATTGGAGGCCACCGTCCCTGCCTGTCCCTGCGGCCACTCCGTCAGAGTTCAGGTGGCCAGTGCAAGGGCTGCCTAATGCCAAATCACCAAAGCATTTTTTTCTGCTTTATTATTCAGTTCCTCTTCCATGCCGGGCGCCTGCTTCCTTGTAACAGTTGAGTGTGAGAGAATAATCTCCACCCGGCGTAACCACTCCCACGTCCACTCACAGACTCCCAAAGCTGCTTATACACCGTCTAGCAGTTCTTTTCCTCTCAGACTCCTAACTAGTCAGCCAAACCATGCCCCACTGTCCAGGAATTTGCAAACACATGTACAATACACATACGTACACACACACACTCACACACAGACAGACACACATGCGCGCACACACTCACTCCTAGTCTCACCTCCAGCTACTTACTCTAGACAAAGGTAGTAAATAATAAGATTCAGGACTCAAAACTCAACAAGAAAGGACTTCTTCCGGCCACCATCTTTCAGGTCCTCCTCCAAGTGTGACTGCAGACTAGCAGCCAAGTATGGCAGTTGCTCCCACCACCGTGTGTGTCAGTCGCACTTACACATCCAGAAGATGCTCTGGAAGCTGAAACTCAGCCTCTGCCGCACTATTACCCCATAGGGAACCGCCTCTTTGCTGGTGCTTCTCACCTCCAGGTGTCACTGTCCACTCCACATGTGTCCATATCCCCCGACCGTCTAGTACAGTGTCGGCCGGGTAAACACCACAGGTCCCTCTGGGAAAATAATCAGCAGAATCCCAGTGTTCGTTGTGGTATTGCAATCCAAGAGTTCCCAGATTCACGTAACCATACAGGACTCTCAGCTCAATTGAATTTCAGATAAGCAAGAAATAATTTTTTAGCGTAAGTATTTTGCAAATACTGCGTGAGAGATACTGAAATATTGTCTGGTGTTTATCTGAAATGCAAATGAAGTAGATTCTTCTCGTATGTCAGCTGGCACCACTACCTTGCCAACTCTTCAGACTTCACGGTCTGAGTCTGAGAAATGGATCTGAGCTCAAAATAATCCACATGCCAAGGTGACACAGCTTAGAAGCCATTTCTGGATAGGTCGGAAAGCGCCTGGGCCAGGTACATTGGCGTGGACTCTAGTTCCGAGTCTGGGCGCACCGTTTATCCAGGCGATGCTGACAGAGCTGACATCTGAGAATCATCCACCTTAAAAAGGTGTGGTTCCTGACTGGCTGCATCTTCCCTGAGAACTCACTGTAAACGCAGGGCCTCAGGCCCCCCTGGGTGAACATCTGTATGCCAGTGAGACCCACGTGGGATTCATATCCATTCATGTGGACATCTTCAAGAAGAAGGCCGGAGCCCATGGCTCTTAACCCTAACTTCCTGTAAACAGCATACTGGGAGCTTGAAAAGTTGCAGATACCTGGGCCTCACCTTCAGAGTTTTACTTAATTTTTATGGGTGTGGCCCAGATGGAGGGTTTTGATTTTATTTGCATTAATTAAAAAAAATTTCTCACATAGCTGTAGTCCCCATAGGCCTCCCACCACCATATCACCGGGAACCGTCACCGCATTCCCTTGCGCACTTCCCTCCCCTGTTTGCCCCCCACCCTCTCCTTGGCTGTACGCCTCATATCTACGGTCAGCTGGCTAGCTTTGACTTTCTCTTGACCTTTTGTTTGGTGTCTCTATTTTCCACATATCAGTGAGACCATCAGTATTTATCTTTTTCCTTCTAATTTCCGCTAGCATCATCCCTTCCAGCTGCATCCACGTTGCCACAAAAGGCAGAGTTTGTCTTTTTTGATCGTTAACTGATATTCCATTGTATAAATACACCACAACTTTTTGATCCCTTCGTTAATTTTGGGGCACTTAGGTTGTTTCCATATCTTGGCTATTGTAAACAGTGCTGCAACAAACACAGGCGTGCAGGTTTCCTTTTGAATTAGTGTTTTTGTGTTCTCTGGGTGGATTTCTAAGAGTGGAATCCCTGGATGCTATTGTCGATCCATTTGGAGTGTTCTGAGGAACCTCCACACAGCTTTCCATAGTGGCTGGACCCGTTTGCATTCCAGATGCGGGAGTCTTTAAAGCTTCCTAAGTAGCTCTTATAGGAAGTAAAGATTTCAGATCACCTCTCTTAAGAAATTTCAGGGTATTCTTGATTCTTTGTATAACTATATAGTTTGTACTTCTTAATAGTTTTTAATTAATCTCATAAATTATGAAGAAATATAACTGAAGAAATTTGAGTTGTAGAACTTTAGAATTTAAAGTAAGTCTTTTCACTCACCCCATTTTACATAACATACATGTGTACATGCTTGGTTTGTATATAATAGAAGGAAGCAATAGAACAAATCAGTTATCATATACATAAATTCTTCGAGTTATAGAAAGATCCAGATCCAAAATTTAGCACCTGGTTGCAAACGTTTCTGAGAATTGTTTAATTGACTGAGATGAAAGCATCTGATTTTAGAAGGACCCCGAGGTGAGGTCCTGACATTTAAAAGAGGGTACTTTGAACCTTGGAAACCAAGTATACTGCACATAGACCAGGTCTAATTCTCATAACTTCAGAACTGGCATAAATAATTTAGTCTGATTTTACAATTAAAGATGTATTCTATTGATAGTATATATTTTAAAAATCATGACAATAATGACTTTTTGTGGTTTTTAAGTGCCATAAAAAGAAAAGACATAAAGCATCCCAGAATAGGGAAATTATATGAGTAAACTGAATTTGATCAGTCGATTTCTTGTGTGATTTCCGTCTTCTGTTAAATTATTCAATTTCTGGTCACCAGTAACATTTGAGCTTACATTGCCATCTGCTGGAGGAACTTTGTCAAATAAGTACTGCTACTTAGTTTAAAATTAAACACCATTTTGCTACTGTTTTCAGTAGGGTAGGATTCACATTAAAATTTAATGTGAACGTTTGAAATCTAATAAGAGAAAAAAATTGGGCTATCATATCAACTTGGAATATGGATAGACACATACAGAATGCACTCTGGAAAAACAGACTGACCATTGCGAGGGGCTTGGATTTAAACCCAGGGGCCAGACCATTGTCCACTTCACCTGGGTTATTGTAAACTTAATTTTCTGGTAGTTCAGCTCCAGATGTGATCATTTCTGAAGTCAACATAACCCTTAAACTCATGTATACTTTTATATGACAAGATGTTTTTGCAGATAATCCATAAGTGGCTTGTTTTTACCTGATACGTTTGTACATATTTTTCCTGCATTTATTTCTAATATTTTGTAAGTACCCAATTTCCTGCTTTAAGCATTTTCCTAAAGAAAAATTCATGCAGATTATACTTTTCTTAATACTGAACCCAGCATACACAACAGTTAAAAATAATTAAGGACTTATCGTAAGCATGTATATAATGTATAAAAAACTGATATCAAAGCACAGATTATCTCTGACTAACTGAGGACAGGATCATGACTTAGTCCATGGACTGAGAGCCCTGCTGCTCCCGACCAGACAATCTGAGGAAGCGGCCCCCGTCACATTGGGGTTGCTCTGCAGCTGAAGAGCCTCACCAGGGCCTGCTTTATGTCCTTGTTTCTGAGACTGTAGATGAAGGGGTTCAGCATGGGGGTGACCACCGTGTACATCACCGAGGCTGTTGCACTATCCCTGGAGTTGTGGGTAGCGGCGGAGCTGAGGTACACGCCGAGCGCCGTCCCGTAGAACAGGGAGACCACGCAGAGGTGAGACCCGCAGGTGGAGAAGGCTTTGTACCTGCCACTCACCGATGAGATTTTCAAAACAGAGGATACAATCTTAGAGTAAGAGTAAAGGATGCCACTGAGAGGAATGAGCACCACAACCCCCGTTGCTAAATATATCACCAGCTCATTGAGGAAGGTATCAGAACAGGCAAGCTGGATCACCTGGTCCAGTTCACAGAAGAAGTGAGGGATTTGCACCTGTGAGCAAAAGGACAGTCGCAAAACCATTAAGCTGTGTAATAGAGAGTGCAGAAGACTTAACACCCAGGATGCAAGAAGCAGGAGGCCACAGAACTGGGGGTTCATGATGACCATGTAGTGCAGGGGATGGCAGATGGCCACAAACCGGTCATAGGCCATGACTGTCAGGAGGAAGTTGTCCACACCTGCATAAAATGTGAAGAAAAACACCTGGCTGAGACAGCCCGCGTAGGTTATGGCTTTGTTCTGTGTCTGGATGTTCAGCAGCATCTTGGGGACGGTGGTGGAGGTGAAGCCGATGTCGGCAAAGGACAGGTTGGAGAGGAAGAAGTACATGGGGGTGTGCAGGTGGGGGTCCGTGACGCTGGCCAGGATGATGAGGAGATTCCCAGTGACCGTGACCAAGTACATGGCCAAGAATGCCCAGAAGAGGAGGGGCTGCAGCGAGGCCTCTTCTGAGAGCCCCAGGAGGGTGAACGCTGTGGGGTGGGTTTGGTTTCCTGGCGCCAGGTCGCTGGTGAGCCTGGGGGATGGAGACAGAAGTGATGGAAACTTCACCACATCAGAGCCGTCAAGACATGAGTTTAAATGGTGTGAGTTTATTTTAAATACATTCAGCTAATAAATTTCATCTCATAGAGCTAGTGCCTCTTACATTAATTTTCAAGGCGGTTGAATGGCCCACCTTCTCCTGATGCTGGAATAATTAGCCATTCTTACATCCAATGCAAACATTTTTCCAAGTCAAAATTTTCTTTGAAAATTTCCTGAGATTTTCTTTTAAATATGTTTGACCAATTATATTATTCAAATATTGTTGGAATCATGGAGAAAAAGCATTCAGAGTGACTTTGAAAAATCCTAGCCCTAGGGTGTCCCTGGTGGCCTAGGATTTAAGTCTCAGGCTACCACTGGGACAGCCTGAGTTTGATCTCTGGCCACAGAGCTGACCCACAAGGTGCAGCAGACCTTTCCTGTTTTGCCAGCTGCTCCCCTCAGCAGTGTATTTCCATAGATTAACATGGTGTGCTCCCCATTCTTGTTGCTGATGAATTCTCATGCCCTGCACCTCTGGCCTGCACCCCAGTTCTTGTATGCATACACAATAAGTAAATAAATATATTTTTTAATATTTTATATAATTCTTATATCAAATCTTTCGGTTGTGTTTTTTTTTAAGAAAAATCCTACCCCCAAACAAGTATTCCTCTAAGTACACGTGGGGTCTCAGTAAATGATATTTCATATGGTGATTATTATTATTAAGTAAAGTAATGCAGTTGGATGAAGAGGTAGAATCTAGAGGAAACTTGTAGAATCACTTCCAATTAGGAGACTTTGAACAAAAAAATCTGAAGGATTTTATATATGAAGGATTTATCAGTGGCAACAATATATCCATGAGAAGAACCTTTGGGTTTTTGGAAATAGCCAGAAAAAGATGTCAGTACAGTGTTCCTGGCAGAGTTACAGAACCAGAAGTAGGGGTGTGACAGGAGGGGGCGCTCCAGGTTGGGGGGAGATGAGAGTTGGCAGGAGGTCCCGACATCCTGCTGTCGAGCAAAGTCCCTGCACATGACGTACATTTGCTGATCTTCTAGTGTTACATGTGCTATAACTAAGTGTGAATATTATGTATTACATGTATCAGTTATCGATAATTTAATCTCTCCATCCATTTCTTTCACATTTCATCTAAATTGTGAATGTTTGATTACAGAAGACAGCTTCCACTTGGGATTGATGTCTAATCTGTGCTTCTCTTTACTAATCATAAAGATTATTTCCCTTATTTCAACCACACACACACTTTCTGATACGTGCTTGGCATTTTGCCCTTTGCATTGAGGCAGAGCTGAGAATTGGAAATCAAATCACCAAAGACAACGAAAATAGGAAATGATTTACCTTTCAAAGAATCAGCTCTCCAGAAGTGTTGTAAAAAAGTTATTTCCCCTGCATTTTAAGACACTGGGAACCTAAAAACAAAGAATCTTGGCTATTGTATTCTTATTTATTTATTCATTTATTTATTTGTAACTGACTTAATATCAGGGTACCCCCACCAGGTATGGCCACCATAGTGCACGCACACCCACTCACCCCTATTCCACCACCTCAGACCATTGTGCTTCCTTCCCACCTTGTTCTTATCCTTCCCCGGCCTCCGCCCTTGGTGTCTCAGCTTTGTAGTCAGCTGTCAAGGGTTAATTTCTAGCCTTGTCTTCATCTGCTAATTTAGTTACTTTATATTCTACATATCAGTCACACTATCTGACATTTATCTTTCTCATGACTGATTTCACCTAGCATTATGATTTCAAGCTCCATCCATGTTGCCACAAATGGCACAGTTTATCTTTTTGATTACTGAGTAGTATTCCACTGTAGCTCTATATACTACATCTACTTGATCTACACAGATTGGGATGTTTCAGCTGTAATATATAGTGCTGCAATAAATATGGGAGTACAAATTTTTTTTCAAATTAGTTTTGTGAATTTTTTGAACAGATACTTAGGAGTAGAATTACTGGGTCAAATGGCAGTTCCATGTTTACTGTTTGAGACACGTCCTCTCTTCTCTCTGTGAGGGCTGGGCCAGGCTGCACTCGCACCCGCGGCAAGTGTGGCCCACTGCCCTGCATCTGAACAGCATCCTGTCAGGGTCAGTTCCTTTGCGCCGTCTGCTTCTTGGCAGGCCCCAGTGTCCTCGCTGCTAACTGAAATAGCTGATTAGGAGATAAAGGAATAGTTGGATGAATACAAATAGTGTTTAATAGTGAAAGTGTCAGGGTCTCTATTTAGAACTTTGATGATGTATCTGTGACCAGAAATATGGCATAGGAAATTTAATTCTTGTTTATATCGACAGTCTTACAATACAGTTGGTTTTGCTATAGATCAGTTCACTTAAAATAGAAGTTCCTAAGAAACTATCCATGATATTAAGTGAGAAATTAATGTATTCACTGTGCTCCGACACCCCACTCTGACTTACTTTAGTTGGGAATAGTAGCCAAATAAAACATATTATGTGAGCTATATAAAGACTATGGTCTCACAAAAATAATGACAAGTTGAGAAGAAAGAGAGGGAAATACTAAAATAGTTGTGGAGAAACGCAAGAGGAAATTTTCATATCCTGAGACTCACCTCCATTAGGGGGTCAGACCTTAGTTTACGTGCATGAGGTAGAATGGACTCAGTAAAGCACATCAGAAAAGTTGTGAGTGCATTTCTGAACACACCGTGGAAGATCATTTACAGTTCTCTTTTTTCAGTTGTGTGTACGCGTGTACGTGTGCATGTCGTTTGTGTGTGTGTATGTGGGTAGGTGAGCTGCATCACAGAGTAAAGGCAGGTCTGACTTTAGGCCACAGTAAGAAGAATCTGGCATCATCGCATACAGGAGAGAAGTATTTGAAAGGTCAGTTCTTGCTAATGAGGGAGAGACCATGTGAGTGAGGCCCCAACTGAAGGGCCAGGCCGGGGGGAGAACAGTTCCTTGGACACCAGGGCCCCCAGGCCGACGGACCTGCTGTCACTCCACTCGCCTGTGGTGGGGTTGACAGTGGGATCCTGATCTGAGTGATGTTTTTGTACCTGTTCCCCCTTATGTGACCACACGCTGTGACATGATGCAGTAGTGGCTGAGATTGTCCCTTCTCTGGTTTTTCAGTTTTGTGGATTGATTCTTTGCTTCCCTTGGGTTTGTGTTTTGATCTCTCTTTTGACACAGATAAACTGGTCTTTGTTTTGCTCCTCGTCCAACAAGCAGTGGCCTCCCCAGACAATATTCCATAAAATCCTGCTTGTGTCCCAACAGTCTGTCCCTTTCCTCCGTGTTGTTCCTGAGACCTTCATATCCCACATGCACTATTTCCTTGTGCTCAACCCTCTCTGTCATAATGTAACATCCAAATGAGCAGGGACTGCAGCCATTTGCCCACATTTGTGATTTCATCATATAGAAAATACGTCAAGGAATTGTAATCCATACAACAAATTGAATACCGGGAAAAATAAAGCCTGGTTAAACATAGCAGAGCAACATGAATGCATTAAGCACAGTGAAGTACAAATCTAAGCTTTGTGAAGAATAGGTATAAGAAGAACTTAATTACATCTATGTGGTTCTCTAAAAAGTAAATTTGCAAAGATTGACTATGCAAATTAGGAAATCACAGTTTTCCCAAAGCAGTGAAAAATGTACATCCATTTTTACGTGGACTGGAGTGGGGAATTTGGAAGAGGTTGTTTGAGGATACACACTTGAAGGTGCAGGATGAAAAAGGTTCTGGAAATCTACTGCACAGTGACATAGTCAACAGTACTTTCTTATAAACGTCAAAGTTGTTGAGAGATTATTTCTTAATTGTTTTGTGACAAAAGGAAACATTAATTGCATGTAGTGATGGAGGTGTTCGCTAGTGCTGCAGTGATAATCATATTGCTGTATGTGTGTGTATATATATATATCAAATCAACATGTTTTCTCCAACTTACACACTGTTTCATCTCAATGAAATCTCAATGAAAATACAACAGATGAAATCCCGAAAGTCAGGACACATAGTCATGAGGACAAACAGATGTAACATACGAACAAAATGTGTACAGCAGGTTATTGCTTATAAGAGTGTAAGAAAACTGCCCATGTTTAAAATTTATCATTGGAAACAATAGGATCTGCAGAGGCCCGCACAAAATTGACAACTTTCAAACATTTTGTCCAACAATCTATACATAGGTGGGAGCATTAAGTGAAAAACACTCATTTTGAAAAACTTCAATTCTGTTTGAATATTTCAGCACAAATCAGAATAAAAATTAAGACTCTGTAAGTAAAAAATCTGTCAGAAGGAGCACAGTTTATAATAGATAAAATCAAAATTCTAAGAAGCAAAACTATGCAAATTCTCCAGTAATATTGTGGTTGCAAAGTGAAACTCTTTAGATCCCCCAACAGACATTAAATAAAAGTATGACTCGTGCGCTCCTAATATGAGGGAGGCTCCTCAGCTGCTCTGTGAGGTAACCTGCCCCCATTAGTCTGGATCCTCCTAATACAGATCACCTGCCCCTACACTCCATCCTAAAAATGAGACCCTCTCTTCAGTGCCTGCCCCATCACATTTAATACTTTCTTTTCCCTCTGCATCAATTCCGAACCTTCTTGGCTGTGTCCTAACTTTGCTGGAACCGTGTTAAGCCTCCCACTCCCCCTTCAGTCTCATCCTAACAGATTTTCCTTCCTGTCTCTTCACTGTCAGCACCATCTCTGTATTGTTGAGAGCAGTGGACAGTTTTGAGTCACAAATTAAGTAAATTAGTTATAAATTGACTAGTCAGTCAAGCAAGAGAACAAGGGAACCTCTTGTGCCTGGGCCTGGTTTGATCTCTGTGAC